GTGCTGGCGGCTGCCCCCTCACTCGCCACCTGCCTGGCACTACACCATTGAGTTCCGGCGCACAGATGTGCCCGCTCAGCCGGGCCCCACCCGCTGGCAGCGGCGGGAGGAGGTGAGGGGCACCAGCGCCCTGCTGGAGAACCCTGACACAGGCTCTGTGTATGTGCTGCGTGTCCGTGGCTGCAACAAGGCCGGCTATGGCGAGTACAGTGAAGATGTGCACCTGCACACGCCCCCAGCACCTGGTGAGCGAGATGACAGTGAGCACAGTGAGGCAGGCATGAGTGGCCCTGTGAAGGGCATGGAGCATGCAGGGGCCTAGGCACCCACATTGGTTCAGGGTGGGCACTGCAGAGGTGATACAACATATGGGTCACACACAACCAGCTTTGTAGTCAGACTGTCTGGGTTCAAATCCCAGCTCTACCTCTTACCAACTCTGGCTTTGGGCAGGTTAGTTAGCCTCTCTGAACTTCAGGCTCCTCTTTTATAAAATGGGAAGAAGAAAAAGAAACCCCCTAGGGTTGCTGGGAGAAGGTGATACATGTCAAGTGTTAGTGTAGTTTCTGGCTCATAGTAGGCATTCAGTAAATGTTAGAAAAGTGACTATTTAGAAAATAGCATGGAACCTGAGGTGTGGGCATGATAAACCAAAAAATTCACTGCCATCAAGTTGATTTCAACTCATGGCGACCCCTCCTTGGGTTCTTAAGGCAGTATCTCTATGGAAGTAATTTCCCAGTCTTCCTTCTGAGGAGTGGTTGGTGGGTTTGAACCGCCAGCCTTCTGGTTAGCAGTTAAATGCTTTAGGCTCTACACCACTTGATAGGGGCACATTACCATTCAAGGAGGGGCATAAGAGGTAGGACTTGGGTGTAAGGGCCAAGTGTGAGCAACGGTAGTAGAACTGTCACCAGGGGGATAGAACAAGAGTGAGACTTGTCCCTGGGCCCAGCCCTGGGAAAGGGGATGGAAAAAGCACTATGGCTCAACTGGCTCCGGGAGACTAGTTTCTATGCCCACAGGCACCACTAAAACTTTGCCTGGGGTCCCAGGCCCATTTGGAATGCCCCTTTTTTTTCTTATGCCCCTCATGCCCTATCCCCAGACCCTGCTTCTCTGTGCCCTCTGCCCATTCCTGGTGACTAAGCGCCTTGGCAATTTATTCTGTTTTGACATCTCCCAGTGTCCTGTGCTGACACCTGCAGTCCCCAGTACCAATGTCTGTCCCTGAAGTCCTTCTGTCTCAACCTCTCCCTTCCCCCCCCTTCCCCAGTCCTGCACTTCTTCCTCGATGGCCGCTGGGGTGCAAGCCGAGAGCGGCTGGCCATCAGCAAGGACCAGCGAGCTGTACGGAGTGTTCCAGGGCTGCCCCTGCTTCTGGCTGCCGAGCGGCTGCTGACGGGCTGCCACCTGAGTGTGGACGTGGTCCTGGGTGACGTGGCTGTGACCCAGGGCCGCAGCTACTGGGCCTGTGCTGTGGACCCAGCCTCCTACTTGGTCAAGGTGGGCGTCGGGCTGGAGAGCAAACTTCAAGAAAGCTTCCAGGGTGCCCCTGATGTGATCAGCCCCAGGTCAGGCCGCTCTGGAAGGGGTGCAGGGGCCCTGGGTGGGAGCTGGGGGTGGGGTGGACATGGGGTGGGAGCCAGACTTGCTGGGGAAGGGCTAGGGAGGGTATCAGGAGGAGATGGTAGGAGTATGGAAGCCAGGCTGGGAGACTTGTGGCCAGGGGAGATGTGGACTCAGCGAAAGGGCTCTGAGGATTGAATTTCAAAGTGTGTGGTTGGGGAAAGGGATGATAGAAGAGGGAGCCGTCTCTACTTCCTTCTACCTGTCATGTAGGACCAACATACCATCCCTCCAAGCCCCCATGTCCTTTCTCCCCAGTACCCCATTTCCAACACTCGTCTACAAAACTGTTTCTCTCCAATGCCTCCTTCACCCACATCTTTTCTCAGCATCCTAAAATTCTTCCCTGAAACATCCCATCTCCATCTCCCTTTTATCCCCAACATCCTATTTGAATACCCCTCCCACACATGCTTTTCTGTGAACCATTTCTCCCCAGCACCCTATTCTTCAAAATGCTTTCTCCCAACACCAATTCTTTCCTAAACCCTATCATCTCTCTAACATTCTTCATCTATGACACTGACTCGCTCTCATGTCTCTCAACACCCACCTTCCCAACATCCCTTCTCAGCCTTTTTCCAACATCATCCAAGCCTCCAAACCCCCCATCATGATATCCCAAACACTGCTTTTCTCACCACCTTCCTTTCTTGATAAACACCCATTTCTTCAAGGTGCTTCATCCACACCTTGTCTTTCCTCCCCCTCCAACATCTCTCTTGCCATTGTGCTTTCCTCTCAATGTCTTTTTCTCACCAAACCAAACCTCCAACCCTATAAATACTCTAACCCATCTCTTTAGAATGTTTTTTCTTCAACACCCAAAGTTGATTTCTTCAACTCCTTACTCCCCTATATTCCATTCTTCCAACATTTCAGCCCTCTGGTACCCCATACCCCATCCTCTTATTCCATCCCCCAACACCCTCCTACCCAACACCCTCTCCTACAGGTACGACCCAGACAGTGGGCACGACAGCGGTGCCGAAGATGCCACAGTGGAGGCATCACCACCCTTTGCCTTCCTCACCATCGGCATGGGCAAGATCCTGCTGGGATCCGGGGCAAGCTCAAATGCTGGGCTGACAGGGAGGGACGGCCCAGCGGCCAGCTGCACAGTTCCCCTGCCACCCCGCCTGGGCATCTGCCTGGACTACGAGCGGGGCCGGGTTTCCTTCCTGGATGCTGTGTCCTTTCGCGGGCTTCTGGAGTGCCCCTTGGACTGCTCCGGGCCTGTATGCCCTGCCTTTTGCTTCATAGGGGGTGGCGCGGTACAGTTACAGGAGCCTGTGGGCACTAAGCCAGAGAGGAAGGTCACCATTGGAGGTTTCGCCAAGCTGGACTGACCCTTACAGGTTCTTCTTCTGGAGTTAGGCTCGTCCTGGGCCCTGGCTCCCCAAGCATCCTGGTGCCGGGTTATTCCCCCGGCAGCTTCTCCCCTAAACTTCCCACCACACAGTCCTGCCCTGTACCCTGTGTCTGTGTCTCCCCAGGATCTTCTCTGGACCAAGGGACTCTCCTCTGTTCACCTCTCTGAAGGCCCCATTCTCTCCACTGCCTGTTAGCCCAGGCCCCCACTCTACCACGTCTCTTGCCCATGCCCTCCCCTTGGCATCTTACCCAAAGTCATGGAGAGAGTCCATTCCTCCTCCCTGTCCTGTACTCCTCCCAGGCTGATTGGGAGGGTGGGCACCTGGAACACTGGGTATGATCTCTAGCTCTCCCTTTGCTCTGCCAAGCTCCTTGTCCCATGGATGCTGAGCCACATATAGCCATGGGGCAGGCAGGTTTGTGGGCTGGACACTGCCCAGGCACTCCCTGATGAGGGAAAGGGGACCCTGCCATCCTGCTTTATTTGGGTCCTCATGCCCCAGCCGCATGCCCCATATGACCTTCCTCTCCTTGCATGCTTTACCTATCCCACACTCATGCCAACGTGCCAAGGCTCCCTTGGGGCCCCCAGCTGAGGCTGGATGTCCCCGTCGGGTTAGGCCAGGCAAGGCCTCAGGTGTCCACTGCTGCCTCCCTGCAGTGGGCACTGCTAGTCCTGTGCCAGGTAACAGCTGTTATTGTCATGGTTTATAAACAATAAACTGTGATGCCAGGCACTTCTCTGCCTTCCCTGAGCCCAACTTTTCCTCCTGGTTTCTGTCCTTGGTGTGGTAGCTGGGAGGGATCCATGGTGCCCTACTGTTGTTCTAGGGCAGGGTTGCCGGGTAGCACCTGAAGGAAGGGAGTCCCCCAAGCCAGGGTCACCAAGCCCCTACCACACTATCCACCCCAGCCAAGCCAACCAAGACTGCCAAGGGGTGCATCTTTTCAGCTGCTGGCATCAGCACCAAGAGACACTGTCCAAGTAGTGATGCTCAGCCCCTAGGATTGTGTAGTTGGGACAGGCACCATGCTGGGCCCAAAGAAGCCAGGGAACCAGAACGACTTCCCCATTCCCAGGTGCTGGGGAGTGGACATCAGTGTCAGCAGGTGGGTGGGTGGGGTGGCATGGAGCGAGGGAGGGCAAAAGGAAGGGAGGGAACCAGGCCTGGCGCCAGCACCCAAATCCAATCCAACCAAATCCAACCCAACCCCCACTTATCGAGTCTGTGTTGACTCTGTGCTGTTATCACTGCCCAAGGATTTACTTCACACCCCAGCAACTAAGAATAGAGCCGCCTGAGGGCACCATGCCAAAGGGAGAGGAGGGCGCAGGCCAAAGCTGGCCAGAGTGAAACCTAGGCTGGAGGAAAAGGCACAGCCTCGAGCGCCAGGTGGCTCCGGTCATGCAGGCCCTCCTGAACCAGTCTAGGTTTCGTTTCCTTCTTCCTCTTGAGCTCCAGGGACAGGGGAGAGGTGACTCCCCAAATCTTCCACGGGCCACCCTTGCACCCCAATGTCTGCCTCCCTCCATGTCTCTAGTTTCTCCTTAAATGAGTCCTGCTCCCTCTTGTCTCCTTTCCTCTAGTCCAGCTCCCCAGAGACCCCTTCCAGGCACCACCAGCCCACCGCCACATCCACCCTGACTACCTCTCTTATCTCTGCGGGTCACAGATGAAAGATCAGAAGTTGGCAGCCAGTGGAGGCCCACGTTTTATTCAGCCAAGTTCAGGCTTTCACCCCCATCTGTGGGCCCTCTGGGTCAGTCCGTCTGGGAGCTGCCATTGCACTTCTGCCCCAGGCATCTTCCCTTGGGGCAGGGATGGGCTTCACCAGGGCTCAGATGGGTTAGGAGACTAAGTGGGGCCTCCGAGGGTGTTTGTAAGCAGCCCACCTGAACCCCCAGCTCACCAGCCCAGACAGTGGAGGGGCTCTGGCAGTGAGGAACCTGAGGGAGATGACAGACACCGGCTGGACACTCAGCAGGAGGCATGTCCCTACAAGTCAGCAGAAGTGGCTGCTGGATTTGTGAAGGAGAGGCTGCTGCCACCATTGCCTGCAGTTACCTGGGGGGCAGGGAGGGAGAAGGGACTCAGGGTAAGGGACAGAGGATTTCCTGGGACAGGCTACTTACCCAGGGCTCCTGGGTGACTGCCCAGACTAGGGTAACAGGTCCAGGGCCCTGGCCAGCTCCCAAAGGGTTAATTTGGAGAGAGCACCTGCCAGGCCCCACCAGCAGCCAGGTGACTGTAAACAGGGCTCTCCCCCTCCCTCTGCTCCCCTTCTCTCCCTCCCTGTGGCTCTAATCAGCCTCCATGCCCTCCCTTCCTGCCCTTTTCTCCCACCATTCTCTGCTCCTCCAGCTCAAGAAAGGGTGTGGGTAAAACTTGGAGAGGGAGATCCTCAGGGGAAGGACAAATGGAAGCAAGAAACGAAACTCTTCTCTCCTCCCCCACCAGGAATGGCATTCTAGCCCCAGGTGGCCACAGTAATTATTTACTAGGTCCTGTAGGAAAAGAGAAGGAACTCTGGTGGCGTGGTGCCAAAGACATTTGACTGCTAACCAGAAGGTTGGTGGTTGGCAGTTCAAACCTACCAGCCACTCCTCAGAATAAAGACAGGACAATCTACTTCCCTAAAGATTTACTGCCTGGGAAACCCAGGGGTCTCTATGAGTTGGAAAAGACTCAATGGCAGTGGGTTTGGTTTGGTTTGTTGGTAAAGGAAGGAGCTCTGGTGGTGAAGTGGTTAAAGCATTCGGCTGCTAACCCAAAGGTCAGGGTGGGCATTTTAAACCCACCAGCCTGCTCTGTGGGAGAAAGATGAGACAGTTTGCTTCCATAAAGTTTTACAGCCTCCGAAGCCTTAGGGGGCAGCACTACTCTGTCCTTGCAGGATTGCCATAAGTTGGAATCAACCTGATGCCAGTGGGTTTGGTTTGGGCATGGATTTGGGTAGGGAAAGGCCGGAGAGGAAAGAAGGAGGCTCACACTGGCTTGGTGAAATTTCTCCCTCTTTCACATTTGAGATCCCCATCCCCATCTTTCTCAATCCACCCTCCATTCTTAGCAGATGAGTGGGAGCAAAGGTGCTCATTCTTCCTGACCTCTGCAGGAAAGGCTTCCCTGGGCACAATGCCCCACCCACTTCACCTCTGGGCAGCCAAGCAAGCACCAGCCCTGGCACTAGCTCGGCCAAGCAGTGTGTGGACAGAAAGTACCTTTTGGGAATGGTGGTAATGGGACACTCCCTCTTGATTTCAATCCTCTTTCCTGGTTTCCTCCCCAAACCCTTCCCCTAGAACTCTTCAGACCTACTACTCCCCTCCTTGTCAGCCCCTCCGCTGCTTACCTCATGCCACATCTCTTCCAAGCTCTCAATTTTTCAAGTACTCCCTTAGGACCCCTGCCTAGTACCCTGCTTCCCCGCCCCACCCCTAGCCTGTAGGGACCATCCTCACCTCCTCATAGGGGCTACGTCGAGTGCTGCCAGGGGGCACATAGCGCCCATGGGTGTGGTAGGTAGGGTACTCGCTCATAGGGTGATAGGAGTCACGGGTTGGAAAGATGTCCAGGTGCCCACAGCTCTTTCGGCGGCACTGACACACAGCCTGGGGAAACAGGAGGTTATGGTGGCTCTTGATGCTCCTTCTGGCAGGACAACTGGGTCAAGGCCAGACACGGTACTTACCAGGACAATGAGATAGATGATGGCTAGTGCTACCAGGAGACAGACCAGTACCAGCAGAGCAATACCCCAGCCTGGTACCCCAGACCCAGACGGGGCAGAGGAAGAATAAGGCACCTCATGCACTAGAAGGAAAAACAGTGTTCAGGGCTGTCTCCCAAAGGAGGTGACCATTCTCCCACCAGCTCAGAGGAAAGAGCAGGAGCCCAGATTCTGGAGGAGGGCCCCTGGTGTAGCTGCGCTGCAGCTGGGGAAGTGAACTCACCATTGACTCTTGAGATGACCAGGTTATATCTGGATGCTTCTGTTTCGTGCTGAACAATCTGAGTCTCCACCTTGTTGGCATCGGTAGTGCCCTCTCGGAAAGCAAGGGTCGATTCTACCACCACAGATCCTGGCCTGGTCACAGGGAAATGAGTACCTCTGCCTCAGCTTGTGCCCCTCCCCCCCAAAAAATGTACCAGCCCTTTCCACAGATGTGCCAACAGCTAACCACCCTCTTCCATACAGAGTAAACTGTCCAGAACTGTACCTGAACTTGATATTAGAGAGGCCCAGAAATTCCTCTTGTTTATAGATCTGTAAAAACTGGAGTGAGAGGGAAAGGACTCAGGCTTGATGCTAGTGGCTTGAGTTCTGGCTGCTTCAAGGGAGCATGGTGGAGGAAAGGCAGATACTCACCAATCTAGAAATGTTTCTCTGCAGTTCTTGGTAGTAGTTGGTGCTGGGATCATTCAGGGAAGAATTAAACTGAAGGTTCAAAATGTAAAAAGAGAGAAAGTAGAAGGAGACCCTAATAGACAATTGGGAAGAAGTGCTATGATTGGATGAGGTGGAAGGAACTATGCTATGGTTAATGCTACTGGAAATAGTTCTGGAACTGTGGCTGGCAGGAGTAGTGGGAATATCAGAGTGGTGGCTAGGAACTGAGGATGGAGTACTCTTGTCAACTGTAGTTGTGGTATCCTTGACGGAGGTGCCATATTGGACTGGAGTGGTGGCTGAGCTGGAGGCAGGGCTGGTGGCCGAGGTAGAGGTGCCACGGTGGCCTGAAGTAGCCTCAGAACCTGAGCTGGTGGCCAGGGTTGAGATGCTGGTGTTAGTTGGAGTGGCAGGTGGATTAGTGGTGGAGAGTAAGGTGCTGGCTGATTTCATGGTACTGGATATTGGGCTGCTTTGGGTGGTGGTTGTGGCTGTGGCCGTGGTCACACTGCTGACTGGACTGATGGCTGAGCTGGAGGCAGGACTGGTGGCCGAGGTGGCGGTGCCAGGGTGGCCTGAAGTAGAAGCAGAGCCTGAGCTGGTGGCCAACGTTGAGATGCTAGTGTGGGCTGGAGTGACAGGTGGATTAGTGGTGGAGAGTAAGGTGCTGGCTGATTTCATGGTATTGGATGTTGGGCTGCTTTGGGTGGTGGTTGTGGCTGTGGCCATGGTCACACTGCTGACTGGACTGGTGGCTGAGCTAGAGGCAGGACTGGTGGCCGAGGTGGCGGTGCCAGGGTGGCCTGAAGTAGAAGCAGAGCCTGAGCTGGTGGCCAAGGTTGAGATG